TTCCAGCTTTAACCTAGAATGATAGTCTCTGCATAGGTTAAAAGAGAAACCTTTAATTGAAAGTGGTGAATCGATTGCTTTAGTCGAGAAGTGGATTCACTGCTCCGTACTGGTACATAAGGCAAGTAGTGGAAGTTTTGCATGATCATCCTTGGTTAGAGTATACCGATGGAGGTTTGTCGCCTGCCGGGTATTCCGATCAAGAGGGTATGGACCACTTTGGTCAAGAGTTCAGACTAGTTAAGAACAATCTGCGGTTTATCTATCAATATGAGTAATTTGAGACTGTATAACCTAAACTAGGTACACACTAGGGGGGTCCATATCCGGATGACCATTTGAACTTGAAAGAACCAGACCAATACTTGTTTCCTTGTTTCTTTTGCACTGAAAACACTTCACTCTCTTGTTCCCGCTAGATAACAGGAGTTCATTGAGTAGACATTAGATCTAGAAATAATTAGACTTTTACACTATTCTGCATTTCCTTTTTGCGATTATACCTGGTCGTAGATTGGTGTTGTGTTGTAGCGTGTCAGAAGGTGTATAAGAACAACTAGCAAGTTGCAGCACTATATCAATTCTCTGATCCTTCAATACAGCCTTGCCCTTATCGACTTGATCCACATTCTCAGAAACCACCCTAACCAACTCCATTACCTCTTTACGCTTCCAGACTCTCTTCATGGGTTGCCACCACAGTCACAAGGGCCGAATAGCTTACACCTTGAGCAGACATCTGGTAGATGGAAGTATTCTACCCCAACCCCAATTGGATGTCCCTCATCTGGATACAACGTCATATGATCTGGAAAAGAACCCTCAGACTTTAGCTCAACCAATACCCGAGCAAACCCCATTCGAGCTCCTCTTCTAGTAGTATGATCCACACCAAGTGGCACCCCAATCCAACTCACAAAACGGCTTAGAATCTTATATCAATATATTCCAACAGAATATTCGTGAGTTAGAGCCAGATCAGGAGAGCCCCACGCCCCATGTCCTCCGCATTGATTCTTGGAGTCCAATGTCGCAAGTAAAGAAGATTTTCATAATAAAACCACAGACCACTCTTCAGGATCCAATCATATGTAGATTGGGATGGAAATTGGATGAGGAACAATTGATCAGAGAGCAGCGATACCCTAATCGAACCATCACGCCCCCAGATTCGATTTCGCCCAGAGACGAACCACCAACAACGCCGGAGGAGATTGGAGGAACTGATCGACGAGATAGAGTTTCCACTTCACCGCTCCACCATCTCGAACCTCCTTTGGAATCCGCAATCCCCCATTAACGACTTCAGGCTTTACATGGCAAAGCCGATTTTCCTCCGCTATTCCGAACAATTGTGCGCATGGTTTAATCGGCTTCCCCTCAGTCGTCACAGGATCGCATCCACCATTACTCCTCATCACCACCAGAAAGAAGAAGTAGAACACCGGCGCAAGTGCCGGCGAGATCTACCAGAACCGAAGCCCAAAACCTAACGAACAAATTGCCTTCAGAGGATTTTCTCTCACTATTTTCCCTCACTACAATCTCTCTCACCAATATTGAAAGTTTATGAACAAAAGTGAACTAGTTTGGTTCATGGATTAACTTTTTTTTCTTCTTCTAGAAACTTGTAAGCTTTTATTAAATCGTGAAAGTTATTACATTATCCATGGTTAATTGATCCAACAACATCATCAGAGGTCTATCATACCAAACCATGCGTTCATCCTAGCGAGTCTCAAGTTGATCCATCATATGAGCCGCAACATTGTCGTCCTTGAATATATGTTTCTAAGATGCATTTTTGAGTTGACACATTGCTAACCGAATACTCCTACTGCTTAAACAAAAAAACAAAATTGTACCACATCTATTAAATACAAGGCATTAAATGCTTTATAAGACCAATATAATTATAAAAGTTTAAATCAATTAAGTGGACCACATGGAATGAGTTTTTGGGCCTATAACCCCATACCATCATGCACGACTCTAGTCATTTATTTCAATAATTTGTCTAAATAGTGAAGCACCCCCATTATACGAGCATGGGGTTGCATGGTGTTGTTAGGGGGCCACCATACCGTCACCCTTATGATGTGGTGAGGGGAGTGGTTACTATACTGCTACCCCCATTATGTGGTGGTGGGGTCATCAACATACTACCCCCATGGTGTGATCACTAACATACGACCCCCTTTGATTCGGGCCTAATTGTACATGTTTAAAACCCCCATTTTCCTTAGGCATTTGTGGCAATTTTGCTCCTAAAAGGGTGGTTTTACGTTAGGTTTCTCGTGTTTTAGTGTGTTTCAGGATTTAACAGGTGAAACTAGCCCTGGAGTCGAAAGTTGGACGAAAAGGAGCAAAAACCGGGAGAAGAGGTGAAAACGGCGAGTTCACGATTTCCTTGGATGTTCACGGTCTTGTATGACCGTAAAGAAGAGCCATTGGCCGTGAACATTGAGGCGTCCAGGGCCAAAATGCAAGTTACTGACACTAATTGAGTTCACGGTCGCTAATACCATGAGCAGGAGTTATTGGCCGTGAACTCGTAGAAGCAAAGCGGTGGATTTCGGCGCCCATATGGAGTTCATGAACGCGTTTCAGAGTTCACAGTCGTGTACTGAGGCCGTGAACTGGCCATGATCCCTGTTTAAAATATCAGCTGAAAGGAAGAGAGAGGAGAGAGCCCATGGTGTGAGAAAGCCTTCTTCAGATTAGAGAGAGAAATACTAACAAAAGGAGAAGGAGGCTAGGGTTTTGCTCCAAGGTGGGATTTGGGAAGATTCTCCCCAAGAGAAGTTCAGAACAAGGGTCTAGAAGATTGGAAGCCTCCCCCAATATGGTTTCTACCTCTTCTCCTTGTGTTTCTCCCATTTCCAGCATGGAGTAGATTTCTTTTCACTTGGGTGTTGTGAAACCCTAACTAGCTACCATGTAGTTTCTTTTATGTGAATTGAATGATTGTCATTGGGTATTGTTTAATTCAATGATTGAGGTATTATTCATGTGATTGTGCATGCTTGTGCTTAGTAATCTAAGGATTGTGCATGTTTTGTGCTTAGCATCCTTAGGTTAGTGCATGTTGGTGCTTAGCAACCTAAGGATTATGCATAATTGTGCTTAGCATCCTTAGGTTTGTGCATGTTGGTGCTCAGCAATCTAATTAGCCACTTTAACCTAGATTAGAGAGGAAAATTCCCCTTTCAAGGGAGACTCAATCGAGTTGGTTTTCCTTTAGCTTTTCAAGCCACCTAACTAGGTTAATTTAGGGAAAACCTCAATGTTGAAATTAGTAAATTGGTTAAGCGTGATTAAGCCGTCCAATCCTTGAGTTGAGTGAGGGAGTAAGTCAACCACCGGTTTCCTAAATCGAGAGGGCCGAGTGACACGGCCTATAATGTATACCTCGGTTTAACGATCGAGAGTGTGGTCTACGACCATATTTGCATAACTCTGTGGTTCGCGGTTACCTTGTCCATAGCAATCGTTTCAATTCACATACCATGGTAGTAAGTTAGGGGGAAGAGACACCCGAGTGATCCTTCTCACAAAGAGCTTTCAAAACCATTTACCTATGCCTTATTTTATTTTAATTAGCAAACTTTTCAACCAAACCTTTGTTGCTAGATAATGATTCAAATGACTGAAGTAGGGGTACACGAATCGGCCCGGGTTGATATTTAAACATGCTTATCATGTACTGCACCCGGCTAAGGTTTATACTTCGACCTTAGGCGGGAATTTATTGTGGTATTCGGGACGAGTCAAGTTTTTGGCGCCTTTGGCGGGGACAACGGTTTGTTATCTTGAAAAGGTTGTTTGGTGTTAATCTAGCTTTTAATTTCCAGTTATGAAAGTGTGTGTGCTTTGCTTGTGCTAGACATGGTGTGTTTTCCGATTGTGTGTAGGTGGTGCATGACGAGGACATAAACCAAACTTCTCGGCTCCTTGGGAAGGAGAGAGAGCTAGCGGGGAGCCAAAGAGAAGAGGAAGCCCCGACTTTAATGTGATGCTTTATGGCCCCATTTGAAGCAAAGTTAGATCAGTTGATCGAGGTAATGCTCGAAGATAAGGGGCAAGGAAGCGGAGTAGTGACACCTGTGGAGTGGGGTGCAAGTTGGGACCATAAGGAAGTAGAGTGCCACCGGATGACCCACCTTAAGGAGGTGGTGATGACCTTTGTCGCCTCCAACTCGAAATGTTTTGAAAGAATCGACAGATTCATTGGAGAGGAAATAGAGAAGTTCTCGGCCATCGAGGTGGGGTTGGAGAGCCAGGAAACCCACCTAATTAGACTAGCCACAAGCATATGGGTTATCTCACAAGCGGCTCATTCTTGGAAGTTAGCCGACAAATTTAATGTAGGAGCGGTTAATCTTCAAAGTGGAAGAGAGGCCAAAGAGCTACCCCTAAAGAAGAAGCAACTCGCAACAAAGGGGCAACAAGTGGCCGGTAGCTTCCCCGCATAACCGGAAGCCAAAAGTGAAGGGGGAGGAAACCTCAACTCTCCAACTCCTCCACCGGCCCCTCAAAAAGAGGATGTCACTCCGACCCCTCAACCGGAGCGAGAAAAGGAGAAGCAACCCCTACTCTTCCCTTTCCTTCGTGACTCCGCAATGACCACATGGCAGCGGAGTTTGCCCACTTCATAAAGTTGATGAACCAGTTGCATTTAAACATCCCCTTCCTAGAGGTCGTTACCTAGGAAATGTAAAATTGAGGGATTTGAGTTAAAATCTCTCATTTAAAAAGCCTAGGTTTTTAATATGAGAAATTTTAATAAATCACATATTTGTTTACAAACCTGGATTTTTAACGAGAAAATGCAAAGTATAGTATTGCCCTTCTTCCTCATCTTCGTTCCTAAAAATTACCGGCGTCAAACCCAGATCTCATCTTTCTTTAGGCTAACAAATCCGGAGAAATCGCAGAGGATGGGACGAGAATCACGTCGCGAAAGAGAACCAAGAAATCCGAGATGCCTTGCATCTGCTTGACTGGATTTGGAATCGCCGCCGGAAGGCAGTGCACCATGCCGCTGCTTGATCGGATCAATATGCAGGGAGCAGCGGACAACGTCTAGCATTATGGTGCTCGGATCTACACTTGGAGCAACAACCCTTCTTCCTTTATCGTGGTTGCTGTAAAATGCAACATTAAGAAACAACCATCAAACATAACTAATAATTGTAGAAAGGATCCTTTTGGAGTTACCTGATTCTCCCTTTCGGCTTCTTCATTTGATTGAGGAACATGTGGCATAGGAGTCAGGTGTGCTTGCTTCTTTCTCTTAGGGGCTGCAGTCTTCGGGCCAACATGCTCATTCTTACATGTCCTCGCATTGTGGCCTTTTCCACCACATTTCCCTCAGTGAACCGAGAGGTTCTCCCGACTAGCAACCTCCCCAATTCCATTTTTAGCTTGCCTGCTTCGGATCTCCCAAGCCTCCCTTCGTCGTTTTTTCTTCGGACGACCAAGCATGCGCCTAATCCGAGGTGGGTACACCTTATTCCCAAACGCGGGCATCCATGCTTGTCGGCCTTCTGATGTTGGAATGGGAAACTTGTATGCCGGCTTGACGAACTCCATCTTGAAGAAACCATCAACATAAAGATCCGATTGTCGTCGCATGCTTGTGATGGATGCATGGCAGCAGGGTATATCATTTAGTGCCCACCAACTGCACGTACATTTCCGGTTGTTCAAGTCGACCACGAAGCCCTTGCCATCGATAGATACCTCATGCATTGTCTCAGAGGAAGGGCGGCTAGTACACATTCTCGCTTCATGCTTTGCCTTCTCCAGTTTCCCTCCAAGTCGAGTTATAACAGACACTCGAATCCCCCTCCAACATTGCAATCGGCCTGAGAGACCTGAATCGCAATATCCAATTGTTGAATGATTCACATATGTTTCTCTCCACCAAGTCACTCTTAGAGAATGTCTTCATGAACAGGCGAAAAAAGTGCTCGAGTTCCTGGTGAGAGAATTGTACAATAAATACCAAGATTACTAGGAAAATATGGAATATCACGTAATAATCAAACAAAGATTACCTGGCCAAAAAATCTGCATACTCAGTCCCACCAAGGCCTTTCATTCGAACCATGACATCCCTCCAATCTGGCTCATTGAGAGAGTAGACAGCTTCCCAATACAGATCACTAGCTATTGTCATCTTATGCTTCTCTCGAAAGTGAGCATGCACTTGCCGAGCACATTTTTGGTGTTCCGCATTTGGCAAGCAAGCATGTAGAGCCTCTACAAGCCTCTGTGTTAAATTGACAAAGTTAGGAACCAGGGGGACTTAAATTTTTTATGCAAATATTAATAAGTTAATGAAAGAGGAGTGGATTAGTTACCTTCTGTTGGTCTGAGACAATAGTAAACCCACTACCGTAAGTTGTACCAAGTTGGTTTTGCAACGCATTTATGAACCAAATCCAAGAGGATTTGTTCTCAGACTCCATTATTGCCCATGCAATTGGGAACATGTGGTTGTTCCCATCCTTCCCAACTGAAGATAGAAGAATTCCTTCAACCTCCCTCTTTAAGAAACAACCATCGAGGCAGAAGAAGGGTCTACATCCTGCCAGGAATCTTTGCTCAAACGGGAGAAACCAATATAGAGTCTCTTGAAGAACACCTTGTCACTGCTCGGATCTACATCCACCTCGAGAAGAAAGGATCCTTGCAGGTCAACTTTCACAAGATGGCCTATATATGATCTAATCTTATTAAAATCTTCTTCAAGTGACCCATATAGCATGTGACGCGCTTCCAGCCTGGCTCGGTAGCAAGTTTGGTTTGACACAACCAAGTTGAACTTCCGTTTTATTTCAGCAACTATTAGGGGATCTAAAACGCATGCAAGTGACGAACTTCAATGCTTTATGATCGCACTTTGGATCATAAACCAAGGTCTTGTCAAACTTGGCGCCATTAACTTGTTCGCCAATGTTGCCTCTAACATGAGCAGAGTCCTCTGATCCCCTATACTCAGTTTTCATCGACCCCCCACTATCTGCATCATCTTCAATAGCTTCAGATGGTTGATTGCATCCCCCACTTGCACTCAAATTCTGCCCCGGATTATCATTCTTCAAATTTTGCTCCTCATCCTCAGATACCACTTGATCCACCTCCTCCCCATATACCTGAATCTGAGCTCTATAATTCTGCCTCCTGTTTCGAACCTTTTGCCTTATTTCATGGTACTCTTCATTAGATGTTTGGGCATCATCCTCTTCCTCTACTCGCACAAATTCAGGTACATCCGAGTGTTGATCCTCATCATCAGAACCATCATGCTCATGACCGTAGTTGTCACCCATAAATCCATCATCACCAATGCTTTGTTTGCTTCAAAGTAGACCCTCACCTCTCCTTTAGCTACACATTGGAGTAATCCATTCATAACCTCCGCCTTCTGAATGAATTTCATGCAAACCAGTGGCCATACTTCCCCCCCCCCCCCCCGGTGTCAAGTACCAAAGCCTTTCCACCGAAACATACTCTAAATCTTCAATCAGAGTCTTTGTTAACTCGAAATATGACAATTCATCGACAACCATATTCACCACAGCTACATCACCTCTAACGTACTTTGAAACAACCCCTGTCATATCCATAAATCATCCATGGCATAAAATGAGCTCAATTTGGTCTTCCATGCTGCACATAAACAAATCGAAAACATACTTTTCTAAGCTGACTTCATTAAGCCGACAAAGACAAATAAACTATTATTGTTTAATGTCCACTACACATCAATCCACATATGGCCAAAACCGAGAGATAGCGATTGCTTACCTTATCTGAATAACAAACAAGATTTTGTCGAAGTGGTCCCTTGCTACAGTGGTCCCTCGAACCTCACTTTCTTCGTCTTTTACAGAAGAGAGCGATGGGTGGGGTAGAGTTGGTCTAGAAAGAAATAGACGGAGAGCGATGGGTGGGGAAGGCTGGGGAAGGCTTGGTCTAGATAGAAATCGGCAAAAATCGATGGGTGGGGAAGGGGATATAAAAGGGGTAATTTCGTTGTCAACGAAAGAACAGAGAAGATAGGCGGGCGCGAGGACCGGGTGACAGGAGCGGGTGAGGATTCCGGGTAGCTATGGATTCGATCTTCAAAGCGGCGACGGCGACGACGTTGTCTTTAAACGACCAGCCGCCGCTGCATTTGAATCGGAGAGAATGCGGGTCGTCGGGGAAGAAGAGAGAAGAAGAATGGTTATGGTATTTTTGGGTTTGGATCGAATCAGAAAAGAGGCAAGGGGATAAGGTGGGGATGGGTGACCGAAAGTTTTTTTTATTTAATTACAAATCATTATTCTTTAATTAGGTAAACGAAATAAGAAAATAAATTTTAAATTCAATTTTTTTATAAGATGATAGTGCCACTTTACTACATCCCTAGCATACTTCGCTTTGTCAGGATAGACGTCAGTGTGCTTCGACTATACAAATTTGAAGTTCGATCACACGGATCAGGCATAGAGGACGATCTTGATATTTTAGGAGATATCTGGAGTAGTCTTCAACATCTTCAAATCCCTTCTCATGGCAGATGGCAGGATGAGCAAGTGTAAGGTTAACATAGGGAATACGAGCCATTGTTGATAAATATATATAGGAAGGATGCGATGATGCGACCCTGCTCACCCCGCATGGCGTCACTCGAGCTCAAACTAGATATCTACATGGACCATGGTTCAAGAGACGATTTAAGAGGTTTAAAGAGAGCTTGAAAGCATTCAAGGTGGAAGAAAAGGTCTTTGCAAGCAAGGCCTACGAGTTTGTTGATGTGAAATCAATTGGCAGAATATATAATTCTCGTGGTCCAAAGATGAAGGTTCGAGTACGACGATACAAGGATCAAATGGGATCATTCTTGATGGATGTGGACTTGCTAGAAGGAAAGTCCATCACGTTGCTCGATTTATGGACTAGAATGAAAAGAAGATGGGCTTGGTAGAAGGAAGGAAGATCTCCCATGGTGTGAACACAAGGTGTGAAAGGAATACAAGTGTGAAAGGAATATCGGGTGTGAACACAAGCCATGTGAGGGAGGATTGCAAGGCTAGAATCTAGGGAGTTGTTGACCAAGTCTTTTCCTTATCTTTTAAGGATTGTGTTTTCTTTTTACTTGTCTTTTAAGGATTGTGTTTTTTCCTTTTACTTGTAGGATTTGTTTTTCATTTTAAGCTTTGGATTTGTGTTAGCTAGTCTATAAATAAGAGGCTGAGTTCCTCATTGTAATTCATTCTATTATCAATCAACTTTCAAGTTTCAAGTTCAAACGAACTGGTTCTTTGTGCAAGCTTCTGTCGAGAGTGCTCCAGAGGTTTCACGTGTCTCTTATCAACTAGAGAACGCGTCTAGTTGTGGCGAGCTTCTACCCTATATCAATTGCCCCTTTCCACGAGTTGATTCTGTCCGATTGGTTTAATATACCAATTGCCCTTTGTCACGAGTTGGGATTGTCCGATTGATTCCGCATCTATCTTTTATTTCAAGTTGTTCAAGTTGGAGAAAAGCTTCGAAAATCCTTAAAAAGAAGGAAGGCTGCGTACTTTGGTCATATCATCCGAGTTCGAGGGTTCTCTTCGGATTTGGATCATATCAAGTGGTATCAGAGCCCGGTTCAAACACAGCGGAGAAGAAGAAGGTTCTTGGGAATCTTGAAGTGTTCTTGAAGAAATCTTGGTGAATTCTTGTGGGCTTATAGCGCAAGAAACACTACCTTGTGCCACAAGAATGGATGATCCAATGAAGGCAATGATGGATCAATTGGCGGAAATTCAGCGAACCTTAGCAGCCAACGCCGCCGACGTTAATGCATGATTCGCCATTGTCGAAGCAAGGCTAGCCGCGCCTCAAGCTCCTGCACAAGAAGCACCTCCAAACCATAATGCCGAGAGGCCTAGGCGAGAAGATGAAGAGCGAGGAGAAAGGAGGATTGTTCCACAACCCATGGCCGAACAATTGAGGCGCCATCGTCCTTTGGGGATGCCGCGAGCAAGGAGAGGGTATCCTCGAGTGCAAGACGAAGAAGGCGAGTATGACGACGATGATGCCAACCTTAGAGAAGTTGAAGATGAATTGAGAAATGTGAGGGTTACTATTCCATCATTTAGAGGTGCTACCGATCCCGAAGCTTATCTTGATTGGGAAAGAAAAATGGAGATGATTTTCGACTATCACAACTATTCCGAGAGGAAGAAAGTTCAAATGGCTGCAATGGAATTCACGGATTATGCTATCATCTGGTGGGATCAAATCTGTACGAGAAGAAGGAGGGATAGGCAACACCATATTGAGACATGGGAAGAGATGAGGAGCATCATGCGGGATAAATTCGTCCCTAGCTACCATCGTAGGGAGATGTATCAAGCCCTACAAACCTTACGACAAGGTACAAAAAGTGTAGAGGATTACTACAAGGAGATGGAGATGATGATGATTAGAGCTGACCTTGTAGAGGAGAATGAAGCCACCATAGCACGATTCCTACACGGTCTCAATCGAGAAATCAGGAATGTGGTGGAAATTCAACCATTTAGAGAGTTGTACGATTTGGTTGCAATGGCGGCCAAAGTTGAGAAGCAACAACGTAGTAACCTTGGAAGAAGGTTCACACCTCCCTCTAGCGCACCAAGGCCAGGAGTGCCTTCGACTTCAAACCCTAAGCCAGCCGTTTCAAAACCAGAAGCACCAAAACCGGCAGCCAAGGTTGAAGCACCAAGAGAGAGACCCACAGGCTCTAGTGGAGGAATTCAATGCTTCAAATGTCATGGAAGAGGGCATATGGCCAACCAATGCCCTAATCGAAGAGTTCTAGTCCTACTAGAGAATGGAGAATATGTCTCGGATTCCGAAGAAGAGGAGCACGCGAGGGAGCCATCAGAATCTGAAGTTGACGAATCAATAGAAATGGAGCCCCCTCCTGGAAGTTTGCTTGTCACGAGAAGAATGCTAAGCGTGCAACCCAAAGAAGACCTCGAGCAAAGGGAGAACCTGTTTCACACGAGATGTGTAGTGGATGGGAAGCTGCTCGCCGTGGTGATTGATGGCGGAAGTTGCACTAACGCTATTAGTACCATAGCGGTTAGCAAACTGGGATTGAGCACAATCAAGCATCCCAAACCCTACAAGCTTCAATGGATCAACGAGGATGGTTCAATTAAAGTGGCAAGGCAAACTCTTCTTAAATTTGCCATTGGAGGATATAAGGACGAAGTTCTGTGCGACGTAGTACCTATGCAAGCTACACACGTCCTACTTGGAAGGCCATGGCAATTCGATCGAAGCGCACAACATGATGGAGTCTCCAACAAATATCGATTGATGCATAAAGGAAAGAAGGTCGTGTTGAAGCCCTTGTCTCCCAAGGAAGTCTATGAAGACCAATTACAATTACAACGAAACAGGGAGCAAAAGAAGGAAGCTAGTGTCGTGGGCCAGAAGAAAGGTGAAACTAGTGTCTTGGAGCCTAAGACATTGATGCTAGCACGTAGTGAAGATGTGAAGCCAACAATTAATGAGTCATCACCTACTCAAGTTGATTTTGTCATGGGAGAAGCCGCACAACAACATCAAATTTCGTCCCAAGGCATAATCAACGCATCAAGTACTCCCACACCACCCAATTCTGCTCATGAGCATGGTCAAAACCCTCTTCAATGTAAGTCAATTCATATGCAAGATTATGGTGAGATTATTGACCACATTGATTTTGTTATTGGGGATGAAGTGACATACATAGAGGCTCATATTAGAGAAAGACGAAGACTCCAAGAGTTTGTGGATCATCTTAGCTTTCAAGGTGCATGGTCAAGGGGGAAAATAATCAAGTCACGGGAGAGAATTTATATGTCGCAGCAAGATTTGAGGTCAAATCTTTTTCAAGAGGGAGGGAATGATGCGACCCCGCTCACCCCGCATGGCGTCACTCGAGCTCAAACTAGATATCTACATGGACCATGGTTCAAGAGACGATTTAAGAGGTTTAAAGAGAGCTTGAAAGCATTCAAGGTGGAAGAAAAGGTCTTTGCAAGCAAGGCCTACGAGTTTGTTGATGTGAAATCAATTGGCAGAATATATAATTCTCGTGGTCCAAAGATGAAGGTCCGAGTACGACGATACAAGGATCAAGTGGGATCATTCTTGATGGATGTGGACTTGCTAGAAGGAAAGTCCATCACGTTGCTTGATTTATGGACTAGAATGAAAAGAAGATGGGCTTGGTAGAAGGAAGGAAGATCTCCCATGGTGTGAACACAAGGTGTGAAAGGAATACAAGTGTGAAAGGAATATCGGGTGTGAACACAAGCCATGTGAGGGAGGATTGCAAGGCTAGAATCTAGGGAGTTGTTGACCAAGTCTTTTCCTTATCTTTTAAGGATTGTGTTTTCTTTTTACTTGTCTTTTAAGGATTGTGTTTTTTCCTTTTACTTGTAGGATTTGTTTTTCATTTTAAGCTTTGGATTTGTGTTAGCTAGTCTATAAATAAGAGGCTGAGTTCCTCATTGTAATTCATTCTATTATCAATCAACTTTCAAGTTTCAAGTTCAAACGAACTGGTTCTTTGTGCAAGCTTCTGTCGAGAGTGCTCCAGAGGTTTCACGTGTCTCTTATCAACTAGAGAACGCGTCTAGTTGTGGCGAGCTTCTACCCTATATCAATTGCCCCTTTCCACGAGTTGATTCTGTCCGATTGGTTTAATATACCAATTGCCCTTTGTCACGAGTTGGGATTGTCCGATTGATTCCGCATCTATCTTTTATTTCAAGTTGTTCAAGTTGGAGAAAAGTTTCGAAAATCCTTAAAAAGAAGGAAGGCTGCGTACTTTGGTCATATCATCCGAGTTCGAGGGTTCTCTTCGGATTTGGATCATATCATGCGAGGTGTTTGATGAGATGATGAGTGATAAGAAGGAGAGAGTTTTTATAAGATGTGAAGCTCCTTGCAAACTTATTGGGAAGAAGGTAAGGTAGGTGTAAGGTCA